GGTAGAAAAGTATATTTGGATAAAAAAATTTATATGAGTACTAATGTGAAAGAAAAGCTATGGAAATGAAGTTTGATCGCTTCACAACTGAAGATTACGTCTATATTATCGAGTGCTTAAGACAATGGTATTTCATTCACTGTTCATGCCAATTATAAGTATAAATTAGAATGACATGACTTCTTGCGTCATAATTCAAGGTAACAAATGCCGTGTGAGCATTACGAGAAACTGTATAAAGTCATGTTTGATTACGTTTGTATTTGACGGGCAGTAGTTCATTGATATTTTACGGTGATCTTTTAGCCTGCATGTTCTTGCATATTGATATTTGTTTCTTGTTGTCTTGTAGTACCTCTTTTCTTAAGCACATTATTTATGAGTTGTCTTTTCCATTCGTAGGTATGAAATAGGAAGTACACATGCCGTACGATAAAGTTGTACTCGAACGATCATCAGTTTATCTGTACTCCGAACAGCCAAATAAGAAACAGTATTCTCTGCTTGTACATTCATAGAAAATCCATTAGCTGCAGAGATGTTCTTTGAGTGTCGGAATACAGGCATAAACGTTAATTGAAAATGAAATTTCGCAAAATGATTAAAAGAGAACAAAACTGAAAAGACTGAAACTTCATAACATTGTCAAAAAAACTTCGAAACAAGAAGCAACCAGTGATATCGATGTACTCGGTTAGAAATACTATTATTATTCTAGAGAGATTGCTATGATTTGAAATAGCATAATCACTGTGTTATATGTCGAATGAAAGCTCGTGAAGAATGGAATTTTGGAGTACAAGCGGTTACTAATTACATGAGAATGGGCTATAGAATAACGGAAAGTTGTAAATTTTAGGTACATAATTAATTGGGCATTTACAACCGTAGCGAACTCTTAAAACATCAGGCACATTCGCCTTTGATACTTAATAGAGCTCTTTACTCTCATCATTTTGGTGGCAAATTTTGCTTTGATCAATATATAGTGATCCTAACGTCCTAATACTCAAAACATCTTAGTTCTATAGTTCACAGCAGCTTGAAATTGTCAGCATTTAGATCTTAGCATCATTATCTAAAGATCAAAATAAAACCTTTTCTACCAAGATCATCAGCGAAGAGACGTCTATACAAACTGGGGGGGGGGCGAAAAAACATGATGTTTTAGGAATTGGCCACTCTTGGAAATGTCTAATTTTGTATCTGTAATGTGTCACTTACCATGACGATATAAGCAGATAATCACACAATGAGTGGCAACTTATACTCCTGAATCCCATTTTGCATGAGCTTTCCTTCCGCATATAATTCAATGACTATGATATTTGAAATCATAGCGATACCTCATAGGAATAATACTATTTCTAATCAAGTACTCTTATTAGACGACAAGTGGCTCATGAGAAATTTTAATCCATCTTCCTATATGTTTCTTTCAATCAAAACTCAGCTAAATAAAATTCCTAATCACTAAAGAGAGAATGAAAAACAATCCGTACTGTAGCCATTGGAACACCAGCATCAATTGTTGTTGTCAGTATCACAGGCATGAGTTCTTCCAGTTCACAATTGCTTAATGGTACAATGACTCGTGGTGGTCGTTTAGGTTCTGGTACTTCTTCGATTTGTTTCGCCGATGGTTCAACATGATCTAGTTTACGGAACTTATCTGGTGAAACAAATGGTTGAATATCAACACCAGGTACTATCTCTAATGGTCGTGGTCCTTTTCCTTCAGGAGCTTCCAAACTACGAAATTTATCTTGTGGTACAAATGGTCGCTCATCAACACCTGGTTTATCTGGTACAACATTTAGTGAACCTACAGTCGAATCTTTACCAGCTGGATTTGTTGCAATGACACGATATTCACCAACATCTTGTGGACGAACATCATTAATTTGTAGTAAAACTTGTTTTGTAGCAATATCGTAACGTGTACGAAGACGATTTCCAGCTGTCAATGGTTGATTGTCTTTCAACCAAACAAACTGGAAGAAAAAAAAAAGGAGATACATTTTATTCTTTTCTACAATGAAGTCTTACATTAGGTCTTGGTTTTCCAGTAATAGTTGCTTGAAGAAGAACAGGTGATCCTTCCTTAACTTGTTTAGGTTCTAA